CCTTATGATTACAGTAAGACCTGTTTAAAACTTATTTAAGATATTAGATTCCTATATGTTGAATGTATGCACCATCCTGCCAAAGTAAATTCCGTGTCGGTGTGAACTTTCATGGCGAATAAAACCCTTTCTGATTCTGATTCTGAAAAAGATTTTGATTTCGAAAACGTTTTTTGGTTTGGCCATGTTTTTGTTTATTGTAGTACGGAGTTAGACTGATGGCCTTAATCTTAGTTGTCTTGTGGTTGTTGTTGTTATTTGACTTGCATCCCACTGTGATTTTTGCACGCAGCGTTGGTGTACGGTGCTATTTCAGGAATATTTAGATTTATTTTTTTCCTGGATTTTCTGTTTGCACAGTCACATAATCACTTTAAGATGTTTTCTTGTTCATGTTCTTTGGTATGTTGCGGTTGCACCCGATTCAAGAGCCGAATGGCTCACAGGGCTATACCAAATAAATGGAACTATGAACTAACTCTGTGTGGTGAGACTGTGGGTCTCTGTCTGGTGAGTCTGTGGGTCTCTGCGTGGTGAGTCTGTGGGTCTCTGTGTGGCAAGTCTGTGGGTCTCTGTGTGGCGAGTCTGTGTGTCTCTGTGTGATGAGTCTATGGGTCTCTGTGTGGTGAGTCTGTGGGTCTCTGTGGTGAATCTGTATGGTGAGTCTATGGGTGCAGCGATTTTGGCTGTGACTGGTCCTACCTGAAGACGGAAGCTTGCGTTGCCTCCGAAACATCGTGTTGTAATTGTTTATTTTATTTAATTTTAATTCGTTTTACCTACGTGACTTTACCGAATAAAATCAAAGAGTATGAGCCTATGGGTCTCTGTGTGGTGAGTCTGTGGGTCTCTGTGGTGAGTCTGTAGGTCTCTGTGTGTGGTGAGTCTGTGGGTTTCTTTATGAGTCTGTGGGTCTCTGCGTGGTGAGTCTGTGGGTCTCTGTGTGGTGAATCTATGGGTCTCTGTGTGGTGAGTCTGTGTGGTGAGTCTATGGGTATCTGTGTGTGAGTCTATGGGTCTCTGTGTGGTGAGTCTTTGGGTCTCTGTGGTGAGTCTGTGGGTCTCTGTGTGTGGTAATTCTGTGGGTTTCTTTATTAGTCTGTGGGTCTCTGCGTGGTGAGACTATGGGTCCCTGTGTGGTGAGTCTATGGGTCTCTGTGTGTGGTGAATCTGTAGGTTTCTGTGTGGTGAGTGTGGGTCTCTGTGTGGTGAGTCTGTGGGTCTCTGTGTGGTGAGTCTGTGGGTCTCTGTGTGGTGAGTCTGTGGGTGTCTGTGTGGTGAGTCTGTGGGTCTCCGTGTCGTGAGTCTTTGGGTCGCTATGTGGTGAGTCTGTGGGTCTCTGTGTGGTGAATATGTGGGTCTCCGTGTGGTGAGTCTGTGGGTCTCTGTGTGGTGAGTCTATGGGTCTCTGTGTGGTGAGTCTGTGGGTCTCTGTGTGTGGTAAGTCTGTGGGTTTCTTTACGAGTCTGTGGGTCTCTGCGTGGTGAGACTATGGGTCTCTGTGTGGTGAGTCTGTGGGTCTCTGTGGTGAGTCTGTGGGTCTCTGTGTGGTGAGTCTGTGGGTCTCAGCAATTAATAAATGTCCCCACAAGACCCAACCTAAAAAATCCGGGACAGTCAACTCTGCTTGACGTCCTATTGACAAATGCCCCTCACAATTTCGCACTGACTGGTGTTCTGGGTAATAACCTTAGTGATCACTCCTTCATTTTTGGGGTGAGATCATCAGCCGGACCCAAAGCCCCCCCTTAAATTGTTGAGAAGCTCTCTTTGAGGCACTTCAGCACTCAGGCATTTACTAATGATGTGCTTCACTCGGATATTGACAAGGTCTGTGGTATCCCCAACCTGACTACGGCTTGGGAGACCTTCAGGTACACGTTTCTCCAAATTCTTAACAAACATGCTCCGTTGGTTAGATTTAAAACTAAAGATAACCGCCCACCATGGTTTGATCCTTTGATTACAAAGCTCATGAAAACTAGGGACAAGGCTTGGGCATGTGCTCAGAAAAGTAATTTGGTCAATGGCTGGCTAGAATACAGGATTTTAAGGAATAGATGCATCAAGAAAATCAGGCATGCAAAAAATGCCTACTTTTCCTCCACGCTCCTGGAATCACATGGAAATGCCAGGGTTTTTTGGAAAAACAATCAAATGTATCGAAAAGGCATCCAAAACAGACAATCTGCCCATTGAGCTTAACCGAAATGGGGAATATTTTTCAGATCTCAAAAAAAATAGTTGACAATTTTAACCTTCATTTTTCAGAAAGCTGGTAATCTTTTTGATAATGTATTGGGAGTCACCCCTGCTCATGCAAATTCCAACACCTGTCCAAACATTAAACGAATTTAGTTTCCAGCCAATCCACGAAAGTAATGTTCTGAAACAACTTTCCTACCTCAAAGTGTCCTCCTCTACCGGAGCAGATAGTTTTCCCGTCTTTGCTCTACTAACTGCTGGTCACATAATATACAAACCTATAGCCCATATTTTCAATCTGTCCATCAAAGAAGCATCAGTTCCTCTAGAATGGAAACATTCCTATGTCCGTCCACTTCACAAAGGGGGCCCTAAAGATGATCCCAATATCTACCGACCTATCTCAATTTTGTCCCCATTGATGATTTTTTTTTTTAGATTATTGAACTACCAAATTAGCAGTTTCCTGTCCACCAACAATCTACTACATCTAAAACAATCTAGGTTCCGAAAAAAAAATTCAGCACCACATCTGCTGCATTAGACTCTCTGAATCAAATTTACAATAGCCTTGATAATAAGCAGTACTGTGCCTGTCTTTTTCTTGACCTGTCCAAAGCTTTTGATACAGTAGCCCACAACACCCTGCTTAGTAAACTAAGTTGCCTCGGTTTTTCCGAAAACACAGTAAAATGGTTACAAAATTACCTCTTTTCCCACACCCAAACTGTAGTCACAGATGGTTGGAGGTCAAACAGTGTTAAGATAACAAAAGGGGTTCCACAGGGTTCCATCCTCGGCCCCCTCTTGTTCTCTCTTTATGTCAATGACTTGGGCACTGACCTGGATCATTCCAGGGTAAATCTGTTTGCAGATGACACGATACTGATTACTGCTGGCCGCTCTCCGGATGACGTGATTGCCAAGCGACAGGGTCATTTCAACAAACTACAACATCAGCTAGTTGCTCTTAACCTAGTCCTGAATACCTCCAAAACCAAGGTGCTATGCTTCTCAACGGGACTAAAGCAGGAAGTTATTTTTCCCCAATTACATTCCTTGAATAATTATCAAATAGAGCAAGTCAAGATCTATAAGTATCTTGGGGTCATCCTGGATTCAAAACTGAATTTTGAAGATCACATTGATTACATTGGTAAAAAGACAAAGAAAATTGGTTTTCTGTATCGACACAAGCACTGCTTCCCCCCAATGCTCCGTTTGGAATTGATAAAAGCTACCATACTGGCTCTACTTGATTACTGTGATATCGTGTATAAATCAGCCCCAAGTAATGTACTGAAGAAGCTTGATTCCATCTATCACTCGGCCTTAAGATTTGCATTGAACTGCCCATATAGGACTCACCACTGTGATCTCTACATTGGGTCAAACTTAACATCTCTTAATGTTCGACGGCTTGTGCACAAGATATTATTTATTAACGATGTACTTACAAAAAAATCCACAGACTACCTGCTGGATCTCCTCTCTGTTTCAAAGAACAAATTTGACCTCAGGTCTTCGCTCATTTACCAGCTTCACATTCCCTATTGCCGTACAAAATCCGGAGGAAGGGCCTTTACTATTGATGCCCCCAGGGTCTGAAATGCTATTGCCAATAAACTGCAACTTGAATCACTACCTATGAGATCTTCACTCAAAACTGCTCTAGAGGAGTTGTACACCCATAGCTGCCACTGCTATTCAGTGGCCCAAAATAAAATAAAATGTTTCGTTCCGGATGACCACTGCAAAGTATTAACTATATTTTGATTTAGTGTGCTGATCTTAAAGGTGCCTTGAAAAATGTGATGCTCCGACTGATGCTCCTGTTGTTTGTGGAGTGACTCATGCAGCCAGCTATGGCTCTAGGGTTTGGTGTTACATGTTATTTATGTAGTTTATTGTTAAAAGTTCGGTCACAGTCCCTATGATCACTGTTACATTGCATTAATAGCTTTATTTTGGTGATTTCGAAAACGTTTTTTTTGGTTTGGCCATGTTTTTGTTTATTGTAGTACGGAGTTAGACTGATGGCCTTAATCTTAGTTGTCTTGTGGTTGTTGTTTTTGTTTGACTTGCATCCCACTGGGATTTTTGCACACAGCGTTGGTGTACGGTGCTATTTCAGGAATATTTAGATGTTTTTTTCCTGGATTTTCTGTTTGCACAATCACACAAAGTTACTTTAAGATGTTTTCTTGATCATGTTTTTTGTTTGTTGAGGTTGCACCCGATTCAAGAGCCAATGGCTCACAGGGCTATACCAAAATAAATGGAACTATGAACTAACTCTGTGTGGTGAGTCTGTGGGTCGCTGTGTGGTGAGTCTGTGGGTCTCTGTGTGGTGAGTCTGTGGGTCTCTGTGTGGTGAGTCTGTGGGTCTCTGTGTGTGGTAAATCTGTAGGTCTCTGTGTGGTGAGTCTGTGGGTCTCTGCGTGGTTAATCTGTGGGTCTCTGCGTGGTGAATCTGTGGATCTGTGTGTGGTGAATCTGTGGATCTCTATGTGTGGTGAATCTGTGGGTCTCTGTCTGGTGAGTCTGTGTGGGGAGCGGTGGTGCAGTGGTTAGCACACTGTGTGAGTGTGGGGAGCGGTGGTGCAGTGGTTAGCGCACTGTGTGTGCAAGTGCCAGTCATCATATGCGCTGCTGTTGCTATTCGCAAATAGCTCTTGTCCCTACAGCCTGCTAGAGGCTACACGGGGGAGCTTTGTCTTGTTTGTGCAGTCCCTTGGTTTACCGTTGTTGATTGTCGTCGGTTGCTTGAAGAAGAAAATAAAAACATGAGTTCATACGTTTAAAGACGATTTTATTTGAACACAAAACGTTTTGGCTACAAATCAACAAGCGACACCCCCTCTGAGAGAGACTCGGAGAGAGAGAGACTCAGACACAGGGCTCGAACCCAGGCACTACGAGATCCGTGGCACGCTGCCACCCCCACCGTGGATTCCTTCACTTGCGCTGGATCCTGGCGCTGACCGACGTCTTGCCGCCTCCTCCTCCTCCACCGCCTCGTCGCCCAGCTCTTGGCTGAGCGGGGTTCTTGCTTCGAGTAGGTGGAGGAGGCGGAGGAGGCATCGATGAATCCGTTGAGTCGTCGTCGCTGCTGCCGTCTTCCTGCTCCTCCTCCGTGTAACGAGGTTGTGCTGTGGGCGACAGAGAAGAGGTGAAGGTGGTGGTGGTGGTGGTGGAGGAGGTGGAGGCAGAAGAGGTGGCGGTGTGTAGGAGGCCGCTATGAACCACACAGCATGACCCGGCCACCATGAACCCGGCCATTACGAACCTCACCCGTGATTAACCCGACCACCATGAACCCGGCCATTATGAACCTCACCCGTGATTAACCCGACCACCATGAACCCGGCCATTACGAACCTCGCCCGTGATTAACCCGACCACTGTGAACCCGGACGTTACGAACCCGGGCATTGGGAACCACACAGCGTGACCCGGGGACTTTGTGAACCCAACCGCTGTATGAGGAAATGAGAGGTTTTTGACCCCTTCCTGGCAATAAAACAACGGGACTCCACGCTAAGGCCCTTTGCAGGGGAATCGTGACTAACCACACGCACGACGCTTGTGGTGGACATGGAAGCAAAAACACGCTCCGTATTTTTATTAATGACAGTAACTTGATTCCTTGCAGTGAAACGGTTTGTATTTGCCGTTTGAACACCTGCTGTTTTATTGCCAGAAAGGGTATGAAGCACCTTTTTCCATACTTTTGTAATGACAGGGGAGTCAGCTGTGAGTGTGAAGGGACCGGTGGCCACGGGAGGTAATGACAGGGGGAGTCAGCTGTGAGTGTGAAGGGACCGGTGGCCACGGGAGGTAATGACAGGGGGAGTCAGCTGTGAGTGTGAAGGGACCGGTGGCCACGGGAGGTAACGACAGGGGGAATCAGCTGTGAGTGTGAAGGGACCGGTGGTCACGGGAGGTAATGACAGGGGAATCAGCTGTGAGTGTGAAGGGACCGGTGGTCACGGGAGGTAATGACAGGGGGAGTCAGCTGTGAGTGTGAACGGACCGGTGGCCATGGGAGGTAACGACAGGGGGAGTCAGCTGTGAGTGTGAAGGGACTGGTGGTCACGAGGAAATAATGACAGGGGGAGTCAGCTGTGAGTGTGAACAGACCGGTGGCCACGGGAGGTAATGACAGGGGGAGTCAGCTGTGAGTGTGAAGGGACTGGTGGTCACGAGGAGGTAATGACAGGGGGAGTCAGCTGTGAGTGTGAAGGGACCGGTGGCCAAGGGAGGTAATGACAGGGGGAGTCAACTGTGAGTGTGAAGGGACCAGTGGCCACGGGAGGTAATGACAGGGGGAGTCAGCTGTGAGTGTGAAGGGACCGGTGGCCAAGGGAGGTAATGACAGGGGGAGTCAGCTGTGAGTGTGAAGGGACCGGTGGCCACGGGAGGTAATGACAGGGGAGTCAGCTGTGAGTGTGAGTGGACCAGTGGCCACGGGAGATAATGACAGGGGGAGTCAGCTGTGAGTGTGAGTGGACCAGTGGCCACGGGAGGTAATGACAGGGGGAGTCAGCTGTGAGTGCGAAGGGACCGGTGGCCAAGGGAGGTAATGACAGGGGGAGTCAGCTGTGAGTGTGAAGGGACTGGTGGCCATTGGAGGTAATGACAGGGGGAGTCAGCTGTGAGTGTGAAGGGACTGGTGGCCACGGGAGGTAATGACAGGGGGAGTCAGCTGTTAGTGTGAAGGGACCGGTGGCCACGGGAGGTAATGACAGGGGGAGTCAGCTGTGAGTGTGAAGGGACCGGTGGCCACGGGAGGTAATGACAGGGGGAGTCAGCTGTGAGTGTGAAGGGACCGGTGGCCACGGGAGGTAATGACAGGGGGAGTCAGCTGTGAGTGTGAAGGGACCGGTGGCCACGGGAGGTAATGACAGGGGGAGTCAGCTGTGAGTGTGAAGGGACCGGTGGCCATGGGAGGTAATGACAGGGGGAGTCAGCTGTGAGTGTGAAGGGACCGGTGGCCACGGGAGGTAATGACAGGGGAGTCAGCTGTGAGTGTGAAGGGACTGGTGGCCACGGGAGGTAATGACAGGGGGAGTCAGCTGTGAGTGAAGGGACCGGTGGCCACGGGAGGTAATGACAGGGGAGTCAGCTGTGCGTGTGAAGGGACTGGTGGCCACGGGAGGTAATGACAGGGATGTCAGCTGTGAGTGTGAAGGGACTGGTGGCCACGGGAGGTAATGACAGGGGGAGTCAGCTGTGAGTGTGAAGGGACCGGTGGCCACGGGAGGTAATGACAGGGGGAGTCAGCTGTGAGTGAGTGGACCGGTGGCCACGGGAGGTAATGACAAGGGGAGTCAGCTGTGGGTGTGAAGGGACCGGTGGCCACGGGAGGTAATGACAGGGGGAGTCAGCTGTGAGTGTGAAGGGACCGGTGGCCACGGGAGGTAATGACAGGGGGAGTCAGCTGTGAGTGTGAAGGGACTGGTGGCCACGGGAGGTAATGACAGGGGGAGTCAGCTGTGCGTGTGGAGGGACTGGTGGTCACGAGGAGATAATGACAGGGGGAGTCAGCTGTGAGTGAGTGGACCGGTGGCCACGGGAGGTAATGACAGGGGGAGTCAGCTGTGAGTGTGAAGGGACCGGTGGCCATTGGAGGTAATGACAGGGGGAGTCAGCTGTGAGTGTGAAGGGACTGGTGGCCACGGGAGGTAATGACAGGGGGAGTCAGCTGTGAGTGTGAAGGGACCGGTGGCCATGGGAGGTAATGACAGGGGGAGTCAGCTGTGAGTGCCAAGGGACCGGTGGCCAGAGGAGGTAGTGACAGGGGGAGTCAGCTGTGAGTGTGAAGGGACCGGTGGCCACGGGAGGTAATGACAGGGGGAGTCAGCTGTGAGTGTGAAGGGACCGGTGGCCACGGGAGGCAATGGCAGGGGGAGTCAGCTGTGGGTGTGAAGGGACCGCTGGCCACGGGAGGTAATGACAGGGGGAGTCAGCTGTGAGTGCCAAGGGACCGGTGGCCAGAGGAGGTAGTGACAGGGGGAGTCAGCTGTGAGTGTGAAGGGACTGGTGGTCACGAGGAGATAATGACAGGGGGAGTCAGCTGTGAGTGTGAAGGGACCGGTGGCCACGGGAGGCAATGGCAGGGGGAGTCAGCTGTGGGTGTGAAGGGACCGCTGGCCACGGGAGGTAATGACAGGGGGAGTCAGCTGTGAGTGCCAAGGGACCGGTGGCCAGAGGAGGTAGTGACAGGGGGAGTCAGCTGTGAGTGTGAAGGGACTGGTGGTCACGAGGAGATAATGACAGGGGGAGTCAGCTGTGAGTGTGAGTGGACCGGTGGCCACGGGAGGTAATGACAGGGGGAGTCAGCTGTGAGTGTGAGTGGACCGGTGGCCACGGGAGGTAATGACAGGGGGAGTCAGCTGTGAGTGCGAAGGGACCGGTGGCCACGGGAGGTAATGACAGGGGGAGTCAGCTGTGAGTGTGAAGGGACCGGTGGCCACGGGAGGCAATTACAGGGGGAGTCAGCTGTGAGTGTGAAGGGACCAGTGGCCACGGGAGGTAATGACAGGGGGAGTCAGCTGTGAGTGAAGTGACTGGTGGCCACTGGAGGTAATGACAGGGGGAGTCATCTGTGAGTGTGAAGGGACCGGTGGCCACGGGACGTAATGACAGGGGGAGTCAGCTGTGAGTGCGAAGGGACCGGTGGCCACGGGAGGTAGTGACAGGGGGAGTCAGCTGTGAGTGCCAAGGGACCGGTGGCCACGGGAGGTAATGACAGGGGAGTCAGCTGTGAGTGTGAAGGGACTGGTGGCCACGGGAGGTAATGACAGGGGGAGTCAGCTGTGAGTGTGAAGGGACCGGTGGCCACGGGAGGTAATGACAGGGGTAGTCAGCTGTGAGTGTGAAGGGACCGGTGGCCACGGGAGGTAATGACAGGGGGAGTCAGCTGTGAGTGTGAAGGGACCGGTGGCCACGGGAGGTAATGACAGGGGAGTCAGCTGTGAGTGAGGGGACCGGTGGCCACGGGCGGTAATGACAGGGGAGTCAGCTGTGAGTGAGGGGACCGGAGGCCACGGGAGGTAATGACAGGGGGAGTCAGCTGTGAGTGTGAAGGGACCGGTGGCCACGGGAGGTAATGACAGGGGGAGTCAGCTGTGCGTGTGAAGGGACTGGTGGTCACGAGGAGATAATGACAGGGGGAGTCAGCTGTGAGTGAGTGGACCGGTGGCCACGGGAGGTAATGACAGGAGGAGTCAGCTGTGGGTGTGAAGGGACCGGTGGGCATGGGAGGTAATGACAGGGGGAGTCAGCTGTGAGTGTGAAGGGACCGGTGGCCACGGGAGGTAATGACAGGGGGAGTCAGCTGTGAGTGCCAAGGGACCGGTGGCCAGAGGAGGTAATGACAGGGGGAGTCAGCTGTGCGTGTGGAGGGACCGGTGGTCACGAGGAGATAATGACAGGGGGAGTCAGCTGTGAGTGAGTGGACCGGTGGCCACGGGAGGTAATGACAGGGGAGTCAGCTATGAGTGAGGGGACCGGTGGCCACGGGAGGTAATGACAGGGGAGTCAGCTGTGAGTGTGAAGGGACCGGTGGCCACGGGAGGTAATGACAGGGGGAGTCAGCTGTGGGTGTGAAGGGACCGCTGGCCATGGGAGGTAATGACAGGGGGAGTCAGCTGTGAGTGTGAAGGGACTGGTGGTCACGAGGAGATAATGACAGGGGGAGTCAGCTGTGAGTGTGAGTGGACCGGTGGCCACGGGAGGTAATGACAGGGGGAGTCAGCTGTGAGTGTGAAGGGACCGGTGGCCATTGGAGGTAATGACAGGGGGAGTCAGCTGTGAGTGTGAAGGGACCGGTGGCCACGGGAGGTAATGACAGGGGGAGTCAGCTGTGAGTGAAGTGACTGGTGGCCACTGGAGGTAATGACAGGGGGAGTCAGCTGTGAGTGTGAAGGGACCGGTGGCCACGGGAGGTAATGACAGGGGGAGTCAGCTGTGAGTGAGGGGACCGGTGGCCACGGGAGGTAATGACAGGGGAGTCAGCTATGAGTGAGGGGACCGGTGGCCACGGGAGGTAATGACAGAGGGAGTCAGCTGTGAGTGTGAAGGGACCGGTGGCCACGGGAGGTAATGACAGGGGGAGTCAGCTGTGCGTGTGGAGGGACCGCTGGCCACGGGAGGTAATGACAGGGGGAGTCAGCTGTGAGTGTGAAGGGACCGGTGGCCACGGGAGGTAATTACAGGGGGAGTCAGCTGTGAGTGTGAAGGGACCGGTGGCCACGGGAGGTAATGACAGGGGGAGTCAGCTGTGAGTGTGAAGGGACCGGTGGCCACGGGAGGTAATGACAGGGGAGTCAGCTGTGAGTGTGAAGGGACCGGTGGTCACGGGAGGTAATGACAGGGGGAGTCAGCTGTGAGTGTGAAGGGACCGGTGGCCACGGGAGGTAATGACAGGGGGAGTCAGCTGTGAGTGTGAAGGGACCGGTGGCCACGGGAGGTAATGACAGGGGGAGTCAGCTGTGCGTGTGAAGGGACTGGTGGTCACGAGGAGATAATGACAGGGGGAGTCAGCTGTGAGTGCCAAGGGACCGGTGGCCAGAGGAGGTAGTGACAGGGGGAGTCAGCTGTGAGTGTGAGTGGACCGGTGGCCACGGGAGGTAATGACAGGGGAGTCAGCTATGAGTGAGGGGACCGGTGGCCACGGGAGGTAATGACAGGGGGAGTCAGCTGTGAGTGCGAAGGGACCGGTGGCCACGGGAGGTAATGACAGGTGGAGTCAGCTGTGAGTGTGAAGGGACTGGTGGTCACGAGGAGGTAATGACAGGGGGAGTCAGCTGTGAGTGTGAAGGGACTGGTGGTCACGAGGAGGTAATGACAGGTGGAGTCAGCTGTGAGTGTGAAGGGACTGGTGGCCACGGGAGGTAATGACAGGTGGAGTCAGCTGTGAGTGAAGGGACCGGTGGTCACGAGGAGATAATGACAGGGGGAGTCAGCTGTGAGTGTGAAGGGACTGGTGGCCACGGGAGGTAATAACAGGGGAGTCAGCTATGAGTGAGGGGACCGGTGGCCACGGGAGGTAATGACAGGGGGAGTCAGCTGTGAGTGTGAAGGGACCGGTGGCCACGGGAGGTAATGACAGGGGGAGTCAGCTGTGAGTGCGAAGGGACCGGTGGCCACGGGAGGTAATGACGGGGGGAGTCAGCTGTGAGTGTGAAGGGACCGGTGGCCCCGGGAATGTTCGCGATGTCAAGTGAACGGGTCTTCAATACGGCGATACACATCGGGAGGAGTGTGTCAATGTCGTCGCTACACTTTCATGAGTGGCACAACAAGGCACCCTCTGTACCTTCGTCCCTCGGCGTCCTCTGACTTCGCCGGGCGGGGCCGGAGGGGGTGGCCCCTCCCCTCGCCCCCCGAGACGCCGGCCCCTCCCCCCGCGTCCTCAGCGGTGGGGTGTTCTCCAGGTCGCTGTCCCACTCCAGCGCCGCGCGCCGTTGCCGAGGCTTGTGGGGGCGGGCACGGTGACCTGGCGGGAGGAGGGGTGGGCGGGGGGGGCGACAGAGGGGAGCACTCAGCCAGCCACTCAGCCACCCACCTGCTCATCCACCCACCCACTCGTCTACCAACTCACCCACTCATCCATTCACCCAACCACTCACCCAACCACTCACCCAGCCACTCATCCATCCACTCACCCACCCACCCACTCACCCAACCACCCACCCACACACTCATCCACCCACTCATCTACCAACTCATCCACCCATCCGCTCATCCACCCACCTACTCATCCACCCACACACTCATCCACCCATCCGCTCATCCACCCACCCACTCATCCACCCACTCACTCAACCACCCACTTATCCACCCATCCGCTCATCCACCCACCCACCCACTCATCCACCCACCCACTCATCCACCCACTCATCCATCCACCCACACCCACCCACTCATCCACCCACTTACTCATCTACCCACCCACTCACCAACTCACCCAACCACCCACCCACTCACCCACAACCCACCAGGCCTGGCGAGGCGATGAACGTCCACCACCACTCACCGGATCTGGCTGCTTTGCTGCCCCTCCCCCCCTCCTCCTCCTCCCCCTCTTGACTGTGGGGGAGGGGCCGCGAGGGGGACAGGGGTGGGGGCTGCCCCCCTTCTTCCAGACCCTTCCTGTGGGCCAGGTCCAGCCGCTCCTCCAGCTCATCCAGCAGAGCCTGCATCAGCAATATCAATCATCAGCAACATCAACAACATCATCATCAACAGCATAATCATCACCATCAGACACATCGTCATCAGCAGCATGATCAGCATCTTCAATATCACCAACAGCATAATCAGCGTCATCAGCAACATCGTCATCGGCGACCAACCAGCATCATCAGAAGCTCATTCAGCAGAACCTGGATCATCATCATCATGAACCTCACACAGAAGAACTCGCACAGAGACCCACAGGCTAG